CAACCAATCATTTCAATAGCCACTCGGTCAATCACAAAGATTTCAAGCATCAAGTCCACTGGTCTTATTCTCGACGGCTTAACTTCAAATCACTAAAATTGATTTTAGTTAAAATTCGATTTTAACTTAAATAAAGTGGTATTCTTCAAAATTAGTTTTTTAAGTTAAAATTTGATTTTAGTCGATTTTAACTAAAATTGATTTTAATGATAGATAGTCCTGACCTGTCAATCAAGTTATGACGTCGTAATGTATCCAACCAATCAAATCGTCGTCTGTAAAGACACAAGGTCAGTCTGCCGTCACGCCGCCATCTTGTCCCACATCAAAACAAAGAGACGTCGATGGGATTTTTATGAATTTCTTACATTACTAATGAGTGTGTGGATGACCTTAAATGCTGACATATCCAACACACTTTTATCTTCTTAATTCACCCTACTATTTATTCGTCGAAGATATGCGTATCACATCGGAATCGGAATCACTGAACTGTAAATAACTATATACTCTAAATAGCAACAGCCTTTTAAAAATCACAAAATTGTAGACATTTTGTACTGAATAAGGAATGAATTCAAATACACAATGATGTGCAGTATGAGTTATGTGCAATATTTATATCAATACTTAGCTGGTATTAATCTTGATTTTAATTTATGGGATTATCAAGGATTATCGACAAATGACCGTTGATTGCAGGGTGACATGTGTTTAGTGTTAAGAAAAGGGTGACCGCTGGCCGTGTCAAGAGGGTGGTGTTGTATAGAGGTAAATTTGGTTGAAAATTGCACGGGATGTATTTTTGGTGGCCGCTCATTACAGTGGGGTGCTGAATACCGGTTCCCGTTAGACCAAGTTAGACTGTACTCCGACACTCTCCGTAATCTGACATATTTGTATTGTCCCAATGCAATTAAGATTACACTGTATAATATGTGAGTAGAACTGCACGACCATGGCATAATCCCTTCAAATGTATCACAAACTAGACATTTTTCCTATATAATTATGTCTTTTCCATATATGGAGGAGTTCAAGAAAGACGAAAAAACACATGGATTTCGATGGTGCAAAATGTCCGTGATGCCCACTAAGGTTGAAACAAGACAAGTAGGTCGTAAAGCTCAATTTGGTGATTACAGTTGACTATAAAGGGCTCTGTTATTCATGGACCACTTAAAGGGACAGGTGTGCCAATTCCGGGAGTTGATTTTGGTCTTGAATGTATGTAAATAGTTTTCAGGATTACTAGAAATGTACGAAAATCCAATAATTCCTTCAAAAATACCTCAAACTAGGAGTAACACTTACTATTGCTATATATGTTTATATATGAGAGAAGACGAGTCGTCATTTTAACATTCAAACGATGATCATTCTGGACACACTAAAATTTTAAGGCTCAAATTTCGACATTGTGAACACTATCCCTGATTAGCCTAGCTGGTGTATTTATGATATAATATTGATTTTAAGAAACAGGCAAACAACAAATAATTAGTAGATTGTTGTAATGTAGTCATGCAGTCA